GTTTTTCACATCACTGCATATTCCTTTGAAAAGTCTTTTTTTCACACGGCTTGAAAACACAACAACATAACACGCCATCTAAGACTGTATCGGAATTATTATTATGTTCTATTTTTTTCGAGCGAGCCTGGTCTGAAAAAGCTGAGACAAACGAGGGGAACAGGAAGCCTGCATGTGTGAAGCGAGAAGCTCTCTCACCCACCCAAGCGTTTCATTCAAACAGAGGACACACCTGTTATGCCTCAAGCCACCAAGCTATTAACATGATAACAAAGATAATCTGCTGCTATCGCCTTACAAACACCCTGTCTCATTAGGAACGAGTGATGCTGGGAAGAGGCTAAGAAAGGAGAAGGAGTGACAGGAGGATATGACTTGGCTGCACTTTACCTCCCCCCTCTCGTCCAGTTTTGACATCCATCCCTTTTTGAAGTTCAGGAGGTCGGGCTGTGAAGCAGAACAAAGTCAAAGTCGCCAAAGAAAATGCAACAAAAGTTCAACGCTTTTTAACGAAGGAAGAAAAAGTGAAAGTGAACAGAAACAGAAAGAACGAACTAGGGTGGACAAACCACACAACCCCATATTAAAGAGCGGGTAGCGTAGTATAATTACAACAACATTTATGTTATGAGCAGCAACTACATCACTACAGGTTTATGTTACCATTGTACATAAAAACCAGAGACTCCTGACTTATTTTGCCACAGAGCCCATAATTTGGTTTCCAGTGTGAAGAAGTGATAGGCCAAGTCAGTTAAAGCAGTTTATATTATATTACATATATTACATCCTCTACTGCTTTACATTTAACTAGATGGTAAAGCAGACAGTATTGAGCTCACTCAACAATCTATATACATCAACAGCACTGTGTTTACGTAACAGGTTGCTGCTCTATTGCACTGCAGCAGGTTTGCTTTAGCTTCAAACACGATGACAGGAAGAGGAAAACATGCGCTAGGTACCTCAAGATGAGGTGATCCCAGATTAGAAGATTAGCCAGCAGCTTCTTTTTTCTTCCTTTTTCCAAGCAATACATTCCTGACTTGGCTTATCTCTCATTCACCAACAAGTACATTCCTCGCTTTTTAAATCTCTCTGCATTTGTCAGCTCATCTCCAACTGGCATCTCGCTCCCCACGACTTTCCACTCGTTTTTACTTTGTTCTTCTCCCATCTGTTTGCAAGTCTGTACGCTTAATATAATTTCTCTCGTCTGTCCTGTCATCTTTAACTACCCCTTTTCTGTATTTATGTTCCATTATGTACTTGCATTCTTGCAAGCCATGGTACCGCCCACTTTCTCTCTGTTTGAGCCAGTTAATATATGCCACTGATCTCCTTTAATCTAACAATGATACAGTCTGATGACTCCCAACAACAGAGTATAACAGGAATAATGTAGGGAGAAACCCCAGGTTAACACGACTTTGATGTATTTGACAGATCCAACTCAGTTTCCTTTTATTCTTAATGAAATTATGTTGAGCTCTTCAACTGAGAAGCATTGTTGGGTGTAGACACACACACACAGTCGAGCATCATATTTAGACCTTTGTTCACTGAGAGCATTTTGTTTTGTTTTTTTTTAATTCTGTTCCTCATTTAGGTGTAATTGCACCTTACTGTGCTATTTTCTCTGTTTATTTTATTGAGCTACTGTATTTAAGCTCTGTTGTTATAGGTTTTGTTTAAGAAAAACAATCGAACTAAACATGGCTTTAAATCCATAATGAACACCGATTGTATGCCTTGAAAAAACAAAAAAGACAAGTCTAAAATACAACAGAAAGTTATCTGTCAAACCTAATTACAAATTATTCACATCATGTCAAAACATGCCCATGAGCAGAAACAGGAAGCAGATGGTTGACGTAGAAAAACGGACACCTGTTAAGCAGTAAACCCTTATACTATCAGAACCGTGACCTTGCTTGAAAAGGTCATAAATTGAAGAAGGGAAAACAGTCAACTGAACAGACAACATCACTTCTTTTCATCTCCCGTTTCCTGTCACTATAAAGACGTATTGTCTGGTGAGCTTTGTCCTTAAGGTTAAACAGGTTTCACCTTTTTTCCTTATTGTGAATGAGAGTGTCCCGGTATAGAGTACACTCATTGTAAGGCCAACTCCTAAATTACTATTGTTTGGACAGACAGTACTTCTAGGTTATTAAAAAACACCTGCCAGCTTCGCCTGGCAGTGTCTGCCTGTTTGCAACCAGAGGACATGTGTCACAGCTGGCTATAAAAAAAAGGCACACATAGTTCAAGCTACAAGCTAGTGCCAGTTACTGTAAACAGTAGCAGTAGGGTAAAAGGGGAGGAAACTACACCACGCTTTGAAAGCAGTGTCAAGTACTTCGTTTCGACAGCAGTTACTTTACTTGTTTTTCTCTATACGTTAACAAGGAACCACAAATAAAACTAAACGAATAAAAGTCACTTTTAAGCTAGCGGTAACTTCATGTACACACCCCTCGAAGTCAAACAAACGCTCGCCACATTAAAACTAGCTAGCTTTGTAAAGCTAATATACGTCAACATCTATGATAAACTAGCTAAACACTTTAACGGCTAGCCGAGAGGCTTCGTTTGAAAAGTAATGAGGTTCAGGAAGACGTGACAAGCAGGAAAAACAAAGTGTTTTCAAAGTACAGCCGTACAGTGAAGGAGGGTGCCGCTTACCGTCATGATAACAGGATCCGGGCAGGGTGAGATAAAGACACAAGTACTGTTACCGCACGCAAGCTTAATTAGCTATTTTAAAAAAAATCACCTTACTTTATCGCAGGAAAAGTTAAGATGAAACCCCGCCATTCATACCCATGTTAACCCAATCAAGCGAACTGCCAGCGTCCTGAGCACGTACCCCGCCTCGTTAAGTGGAGAGTGCGTCCATGTCGCTGCACGCGGACGAGTTTTTCGCGTTTTAAAAACAACAGCAAAAACTATTTTTCAACTTTGTGACAAGTGGAGCGGAGCTAATGTAGCGCTTCAGCCCTGCTGCCTGTTTGCTCGCTGCTCGCTGCTCTCGCTCTCTGTCTGTCTGTCACTTCCTGGGCGGGTCCGCGAAGATCTGTTCAGAAAACAAGCCTACCACCTACTCCGTCGCCCCACCACCCCCAAAAAACTGCCTTGGCTATGAAAACGGGGTCCGGGGAGCTCCTGCGGGGGAGAAAGTGGGAATCCATCTGAGTCTCCCTGGGGAAATTTTACCCTCCTTATTGACTGAAGCCACACAGGTATTTCCAACAAGATAAGATATGGAGGGGGGGGGAAAAGTCTGTCAATCTAAAGTCCTAGTCTGCAAATACAAAATCCTGACATTCCCTCGCTTAGACAAGCTTTCTCGTCTAAACTCTCAAAAAAGACTTGCCACATTTTCCCGTCTGAAAATCTCTTGCACATAAAGTGGCACCCCCACCCTCCTCTACCAAAAGCCTCTCTTGTAGCTATTGGTTTCAGTTCAGGAATTTCAACACATGCCCCAGCAGACCACAATTGACAGAGTTCAGTCAGTGTTGTGAAATGACTGCAGGGTGTAGGTAAAAAAGATAGACACGCGACTGTCAGCTGTTAAAAGGAGAATTTAAAGAGTGTATGAACAGACACACCAGCAACCTTAACCTTAAGCACATAAAAAGCTTTTGCAGTTACAGACAGGAGCTGTGCAAACACTGGTAAATATGTGACAAAAAGGGATATTTAAATAGGCGGGACTGCAGTAAAATTAAAACAGCGGTTTTATTACGGTGAATCACAAAATACATGTGGCATATGCAAGGCATGCAAGTAAGCAAGACTAAATATTTTTGCTGTGTAAACATACCTGCATTTGTTCTGATCTGTGATAATAACCTTTCCAAGAACTGCCCTCATCTGCTGTGGGACTGCCCGATCTCTGGAAAAGAGCAGCTTGTAGTTATTAACCAAATCAATACGGGACTGAGCAAACATGTCCCATCCATAGAGGTGTTTTGTTTTTTAAACCTGATGTGTGGTATATGGTAGATGAAGTTAGGCATTAACATATTAGGTAATATAATATATTAATAATATAATATAACAATAAATGCCATTGCAAGGTTTTATCAGTTCCTACACCCTTCTATACCATTTGCACTCTCTGTTCCCAGTCTGCCCTACTGCTTACTTTCAGATACCTAAATCAAGAAGCTAAAAAAAAACGTGGGTTTCTTACATCCTTTAATTAACTCGCATGGGCCTGAGCCGGCCTACCTGTAATGAGGTGGAGGAGTGAGCTCGAGATAGATACCCAGTGCCACCACTGTGCCATTCTCTCTCAGTGTCTCCTGTATCTTCCCACTCTCTGGAGGGAAGCTTGCTCAAGGAGTGGCTGAAACAGCAGACAGGTTATTAGTGTCTCTAATTAATCCAGTCGAATGAAGTAGAAGAAGCAAAGCTGGCAAGAGAAAATACATCTTCCAAGAAAATGTTGGCGAGTAATCATACCACTCAACAAATGCTCAGTTTAACATATGCAGGTGTAACATGAGCCTGACCTGGCAGGCTTGAAGAGCTCCTGTCTTCGGACGGACTGCTGGTTCTGCAGCCTCCCCGCGTGGCTCGAGGCCTCGCTGTGATGGATCATTTTGACCTTCGGTACATCAGCTATCATGGCATACGCCTCCCTGTTCCGCCCTGTAGATCCCACAGAGAGCCGGCCCGACTCAGAGGACTCCATGGAGCTTTGCGAGGAGGTGTGCCTCTGCATTTGAATGGGAAGTGAAGGGCTCTCAGGATGACGGGAGGTCCTCTTGTCATTAGGAGAAGGGCAGCGGTCTTCACGGATGTTTCTACCGACACTGGATCTGTTGCTGCCTGGGCTCCTTGGTCGTTCCAAGGTGACAGCAGTGGATCTGTTGCCACTTCCACCATGTCTAGAGGGCGAAGCAGCCCGAGATAACGAGGAGCTCCGGAGGGAATGAGATGATTCTCGCCATGAGCGTGGTGAGCGATCAGAGTTGGATTTTGTGTCAGCATGAGTGTTTTTTCTCTGAAAGAAATGACCAGAATCTCCATTAATGGCACTTCTGAGGACTGAGTACCCCGGTGGGTGACTGCTGTCTTTCCTAGAGGGGGAGGAGTTGCGGCTGTTTTGATTCCTGCTGTTGAAGGAACTGCTAGTTTCTGTTTTGTGTGCCAAACGTTGGTCAGAAGCATCAAAAGTTCTCCTTAAAGATGACGAGTTGTATCTATCATGACTTCTGACTGAGCTGTTAAATTCAGACTTGTGCAGCAAAGGCTGAGTAGGAGTCTCGTAGCTTTTCCTCAAAGGGGGAGATTTATGACTTTCACGACTACGGCCATGTAATAAGCTACCGGTATCTGTTTTCTTCAGCTGATACCTGCTGGGGGTGTCATAACCCCTCCTTCCAGGAGAGGAAGAACGGCTATCCCGACCTCGACTGCTTCTGGCAGGGCTTGATTCAGTCTTACGCAGTATGGAATGACTTGGTGTATCATGACCTCTTTTAGATGGAGACGGATGGATGGGGACTTCTTGTTCTTGATCTTTCAACCCATTTCTAACAGATGGGTTACGCAACAGAGCCTGGCTCTCAATATCATAACCTTCTCTTATCGGGGACCCACAGCGTGCGTGGTGACTGCGCCCATTTAGAGAGATAACGGACTCAGATTTATGAAGTAGTGATTGGCTAGATGAACTGTAGGTCCTCCTTGGCGGTGAGGAGCTGCGACTGTCAGAAGTCCTTCTTGATGGAGATGAAGTCCTTCTGTTATACACACGTCCATGTGATAAACTAGTGCTGGCTTCAGTTTTGTGAAGAGGCATTTGGCTTGAACTGTTAAAGTCCTTCCTCTGCGGAGATGAGCTCCTGGAGTCGCCACCCCGACCACTTAAAGACCCATTTGCTTCCGTCTTTCGCAAGGTACTCCTAAAATCAGAAATCATGCTGGATTGGGATTTGACTGAACTGGCAAACGATTTGAAGTTTCTTGGCAGGGTTCCCGACTCAATACGTCGCCCATGTGTGCCTTGCAAGGAGCTTCTGGACCCCGCCTCCCTCCCTGGAGACCTCCCTCCACCGTCAAAGTTAGTCCTGCTGAGGGAAGCAATGGATTCGCTGCGTCGGAATGTCGGGTTTCCACGTGAGGGAGAAGACGAGCGAGACTGCAGAGCCGAGCTTTGCCTCGGGGAGTTGTACGACCCCGACTGCTGATAGGAAGAGACGGGAGAAGAAGGGCTTACACGGCCGTATGAACTGCCGAAACCCTTTCGTCTGCTAGAGGCCAGCGACTCCGCTATTTTAAAGGGAGTAGGGCTCGGAGAGCGAGGGCCGACTTGTGCCTCAACCTCAACTGCAATTTCATATGGGTCAGGAGGAGGGATTTCCACATCCACGTCCTCGTCCACAGCCTCTGGTATCTGCCTTTGAGAAGCCACACCAAGATTAGGATTTCTGAAGGGAACGATGTCTTTGGGCTCGACGTTCCTGCTGCTGAAGATGGGATGGCCTCGCTCGAAGTGGCGGAACGGAGCGGGTGGGCTGCTGTCATGGAGCGAACGGGCACCTGCTGCCCTCCCCAGCGAGAAATAGCCACTTTCGCGCTTCTCTCGCTCTTCTTTCAACCCTGGAAGAGAAGAAAAATATTTTTTAAATAAGATGAAATAGAAAGAAGCAACAGTAACAGAAATAAGAGAAGCAAAGGTCAAAGTTCAACCTCTGAGCAACTACCGGAGGTTTCCTGACACAAACCGAGCTATATTGTATTACTGATAATTGCTCTTGGACACTTCACCTGATGACAGCAAATAGTATTACCAAGTAAATAACACCTCTGGCTGTAACTGGATATAGATTGGTCAATTGCAGCACGTCACAAGTTTACTAAAGACTCAGTCGACCGCTGTACGGAGTATTTGCAAATATCTTTGGCGATTCTGCTACCTCTGTTTTTCTCTTTCCTATAATTTTGCTTTGGTTTATGAGTCTAATGTTCTAAGAAATTGATTCAGCAACACACAATGTCAGCCTACAAGTACCCGAATGTCTACTGAAGCTGTCTCTGCTCCGAGAGTCATCCATCCAAGCCCTTGGGTTGGGCCGGTGGGGCGGCGGGTCAAGCCGGGTCATATCGAGTTTGACCAGGTGGCGACAGATCGGTGGGTATTCGTCCTCTGCACTGGCCGAGCCACTGAACTCCTGGTAGTCGCTCTGCTCACGGCAGCTACGTGGAAGAGGAGATGGAAGAAGAATGACGAGAGCAGAGATGAACGAGGTGAGAGATCGAGAGTGGGGAGTGAAAAGCAAGAGAAGAAGTCTCAGAAATTTGATCAGTTTAATAGACACGTCGTAAAACTTAAGCCATTTTTCAGGTCAGAGAGCATGGTGAATGCAGGAAGATCAATACAAACTACAGTACCTTTTAAATCTAACTCCACAAACTCTCACACTACACTTTAGAGTCATTGAATTGCCATTGCAGCTCCTTTTATCATCACGATGCCTTCTTTCTTACCTGTCTGTGCTGTCGTCGTCAGCCTCGCAGATATAAAGCTCGCAGTCGGGGCTCAGGATGCACAAAGAGGGCTCCCCATAACCCAGACGACCTCCATTGACATCGCAGTAGCTGCTCACCACTGACAGACCATCAGAATCCTCCTGATAGGATGAGAGGGAAAGACAAGGACCAATCACAATTTTGCGGCAAACTCCATCCCTCTATCTCTCCAAGTCACAAAAAGAGGAGAGGAAGTGATGCGCCTCCACCGGCACGTGAAGGTTCACTGAAAGTACACATCAGTGTGCATACATGACAAACCCTCTTCGTCTGGCTCCGGCTCCTAGAACAGCAGTTTTGATAATAGCGTCTGTCCCCTCTGTCCTCCCTGACAGACGCTCACATGTGCTGCTGTTCGATTAGGGTTACACCTCTGTAACCCGACCTGGCTCGTGGCTTTCCTCATTAATATTTCATCACTTTTTTTTTTAACTCGTCCTCTCCATAAACTTTGCCGTCTCAAGGAATGATTGAAAACTGTCTACAAATGCCAGAAAATGACAATCCCCAACACCTTCTAGGAATCTACAGGTAATATACTACCAGATCTAAAAGAAACACAATCAGGTGTAAAATATGCACAGAAACAGATTATTGCAGACGTTTCATGCATATCAAACAGAAGCTGGGGCACAGGTTTGTGCCGTTTCGAAACTGTCCAGAAACATGCCCATCCTCTCTGAACTCCCGTCTAATATTACAAGTCATTCCCAAGAGGGCAGTAAATGATCCAGCTTCATTCATTTTTAATAGAAGCCACTACTGCTACCCTGCTCCGCGCCAATGGCTCTTATTCTCCGTCTCTGATCTCTCGTTCATTTACTCACAAGTAGTAAAGTTTCAGACATGATCACATTTACTTTGTTTACATGTAAAGTTGAATGGGAATTTCTTCATTGGTCCTTTCTTTAACCAGAGAATCGAACTCTAGGGTTAAGTCAGGTGTACTTAAGTTTAAGAGTAATCAGTCGATTATTAAATTAAAGTTAAAGCAGTACAGCAGTGCCTTATTGATTCCTGCACCAGAACATCTGACCTCAGTGCTGCGCTGCCTTACCGCTTAGACCTGTGACCTCTAATGCATCTTCCTGCTGCTCTTCACGTCCAGCTAATCCCATCACTCAGCACACATTGAGTTCTCATTATCTCTTCCTGGTTACCTTGCTGCTGTTGCTGCTCTGCACATCACCGTCCTGCTTGTCTCACCTTGCTGCTGGTGTCTCTTTCCTCCGTTTGGGAAGAAATCGGTGTTAACGCTTCTCCCTTTCTTGACCCAATCCCAGTTTTAGCCCCGGCTCCGGACTCGGGAGCGGATATCTGTTGCTGCGTGACCACAGTGCTCTCCCCCGCACCGGCGTGCAGGTGCCTCTGGCGCAGGCAGTCGTGGCAGCGGGAGGGGTCGAAGATATTGGGCTGGAACTTGGGGCAGATGGGCTCATCGCCGGAGAGGGCCATGGTGAACGCAGAGGGAGAACCTGGATGTTCATTGCCTCCAACAGAGAAAACTGGGAAACAACAGCAGGAAATATGCAGAAATATTTATCTAACACTTGAGGAAGACTTATTAAAAAAGACTGTCAAATTACAAAAGTGTTTCTGCACATTAATTCTAATTTGGTAACGTACAGAGCAAGCATGAGCCACTAATGCGTGATTGTGACACATTACTGTAAGGTGGTGTAAGCACAGAGCAGCTGCAAACAGTGCATACTAAAAAAGGGAGTTTTGTTTCAGGACGTGAGAACTGTTAAGATCACTGATAACTAACCGCACTCGCAGCTGATGAAATGCAGTCCAGTCAGAGCAGTTCCACAGTACTACACACCACAAGACACATGCACTGTAACCAAGCAACTTCTACAAGCACCAGCGCCTCTGGTAATAGTCAACATGTCAATTAAGCCTTTAATAGTGTAAAACTGAGGATGGTAGAAATATATAAAAATGGTTTTGTTATGAAAAAGATTTAAAATTACCTGACAAGAGGGGCTCCAGCCTTCAGTGTGTCATCATTAAGGATGAACTGCCCATCAGACCCCCATCAGGCACATGCCTCCTCTTCCCCATGCTCTCTGTCCTCCCGGCCTGCCAGACACTTAAAACAATCTGATTGGCTGCTCTGACAATGAGTGAAACTGCAGCATCTGTGCCATCCATGGCGGCTCTTAGCCGACACGGCTGAGATCCTGAAGCGCACACAAACCCCAGGACCAAGATGGAGCCAGTGGCTTATTGGTTCCCCTATTGAGCAGCTGTATTAAATATCATGGGCTTTAGAAAGCGAAATGAAACGCTCATGCTAGCGACAGCTGGCACACGCTGGCTCAGGTTAACGTAAATAAATAAACACCAGCGAGGTGGGGGTGTTTAACATATATTAAAGCCGCTGGCTGTTTGTGTTCTACATGAAACTGCTTGGTTCGCTTTTAGATCACACAAACACAGGTGATACTCAGCTAGGAGGAAATACAGAGCTAAGGGTTGGTTTCCTGATGTTCTCCAGAGGATGTTGACAACAGCATCAGGTTTCCTATTAAACAATAGAGCACAGTGGGACAAAATTCCTCACAGGGCACGCTGACATAATGTGACATGAGCACAACATGAGATCATCAGAAATTATTCAAATTTACTTTAATCAAATTTGAGGTAAATACAGCACACTCAGTACACAATTAACAAATAACTATAATGGGAAGAAACAAAAAAAGTTGGAAAATGTACAAAACTGAGCACAAGATTTCACAGGGCAGGTAACTCCAACATCATCTTTATGCATACACGTATACTGTTCGACGCGTGAGCAACACAACCAAGTCCAGTTTGTTGAGCTGGCCTAACAAGAGCAGAAGTCGGGAGATTCTTCCTCCCTTCATGCACTCCTTCAGTCCTGATGATGCGCTTTCTTCCCGGTCTGTCTACGTCTCTGACGCTTGCTGGTCCTGCCGCCTTTGTTTCTACCCTCTGTGACACCAGGTCTCTTCTCTGTCAGACGGCCCCGTCCGCCTCGGCCTTCCTGCTTCCCTTTCCTCTTCCGCTTGCTGGTGTAAGTGCTGAGCTGCGTTGTAAGGGAGCGGATCCTGGAGTGATGAAAGAGCGAGAGAGAAAAATAAATAAACCAATCAGCTGGAGTTAGAGGGGCCAGGTAAGGTAGCTGTGTGTACTCTGGAGGTGGAGGAATGCAATTAGGGATGGGTATCGAAAACCGGTTCTTGTTGAGAACCGGTTCCCACTGTTTCAATTCCTTGGAATTGTTTGCCATTTTTGCAAACGATTCCCATATTGATTCCAGTCTCCCCGAATGACGTCACCACGTTGCGGAGCGTCATTTACCTGGCAGGAAACATGGCGCCTAAGCGGCTCAAACGCTCAAAAGTTTGATTATACTTTACGAGAACAGATGACAACAGGGTAACTTGCAATACTTGAAAAGTAGATATTTCATTTAAGGGAGGAAACTACGAATATGCAAAAGCATTTGCTCACAAAACACACGATGACCTTAAATGAATGTCGTGTTTTTAATTCCGCTCCGGACTCGTGAATCTCAACCCAGCAGCAGCGGTAACGTTTGCACGTCCTCTCCCGTTAATGCGGCAGGTAAATAATCAACTAACAGTGCATATTATGTTAGCG